TTCAATATGCCTTTACGCTATAAAATTTGTACAGTTGACTCCCGATAACTCGAACCCTCGCTAACTCGAACCTCGTGCTAACTCGAACCAAAATCGATTTCCCCTGGGTTTCCGTCATACATTTACTGTAATTTTACCCTCGGCAAATGCTCGGTAACTCGAACCCTCGATAACTCGAACCTCCCGCTAACTCGAAGTAATTATTGTTTTCCCTCACATCATTTCTATATAATTTTACCCTCGATAACTCGAACCATGTTTTGAGCCCTTAAAAAGTCGGGAAAAAACAGTGTTTTGAATTTCCCATTGACGTGTTTTAGGCATATATTTTACTAGTGGATCGATAGTGGGGGCTGATGTTGTGTGTCACAAATCTAACGTGAAATACCTTTACTTCTCAAAAAGTAAAATGCATGCTCTATTTAGGCAACGTTTTGTTACGTTACGTTCTCCTTTATAATCTAAAAGTATCTTTCAATTTTCACTCAACATTTCTACAATTGAATGTGATTAAAAATGGTCACTGTGCAGTAAAAACTGTTTTTTTCCTTACTCTCGGCTACTTTAATTTTCGAGCTCCCGATAACTTGAACCTTTTTCGCCGATTTCCCTTGAAGGTTCGAGTTATCGGGAATCGACTGTATTGCTAAGTTTCTTCGCTGTCGCTCCAGAAACGTCTTTAATTGCTATAAAGCTCCTTACAGTAACCTTTAGACAAACCGAAAACTTTGCTTCTTAAAACTTCTGCTTGATTTCACTTTAAGAATCCACTCATTTTGCAAAAGAACACTATAAGCAGCCATCAAACTGCAAATTTACCCGGAAGGATATTCAATAAAACTGTTACTTATATAACACTCGTTTTCACAAATGATTGGTCAATGCCGGTTACTGCATTTTGTTTACGGAGAACTGAGTTTAAGTACAATTTCATGTACCAAACTCTCTCTGTTTTAGAAGAATTCGTAGTTATATGCCGACACGTAAGCCAAGTGATTTTCAAGTACAGTTTAAAGAGATTTATCGCAACCCGATCTTTAGATCGAGTAACTAAAAATTCTTTTATCACAAAGCTTAATTTTCTCAGAAGAAAATCTGTTAACCACAGATACATAAATACATTCCTCTGATAGATAAAGGTTGAATGTATGTTAGGTACGGTATTAGAGACGAACCTATTCATTCATCTATCTCTTTTGTCTACAACGAAATTAAAAACGAAAAATTCCTTGCGGTGGAACTTATAAAGATATTTCATCTCGCAGCTTGATATTTGCTGGTGCCGCATGGATTAAGTTAAGTAAAGGATCAAACAAAAGAATCCAATACGATTCTCAAGAGAAATTAATTCGCGATGGACAGATGTAGTGCACCTGTTTCGTCTGCCGTGCACTGATTACTAACGGCTAAATTAGCCTTGGCCTATTCCCAGAGTTATATATATTACGATTCTGACGTAACTCACACTATAAACAACACTCACAATGATATCCGAAGTTGAAATACACTTAACTAACAGGTTCTTCGCGGCTAGTAAAGTGCTTTCACTATTTGACGTGGGGATAACTTAATCTAGCTCAGTTTTCAGCGGAGCCACCCAGGCCAGTAGTGAATGTCCCTGCCTCCCACAAAGAAAATTGCGTGGGTTTTATTACAAAATTTCACTAAGCCAAGCCCCCGGCTTGGCTTAGTGCGCTGATCAATCATTTCTCCCAAACCTCGACACAACTGGCCACGAATGTAATGTTGCTGAAAATATAAATAATTTCCATGAATTTCACGGTTATAATAACTCTACAACAAACAGCAAAGAATTTCACAGTTATAACTCTGAAGAGTGGTTCTGAAGTCAAATTCTATATCGCCGGACCATTTAAATTTACTATCGAATTGCATTAGACTCGCTGCGGAAAGTAAACATTTTTTTTCTTTTTGGTGGTCAATTAATATAGGGCCTGACGTTTTAGAACTTGTAGTAGAAGAAAGTGAACAAAAAAAACACTAATTTCATAAGTACTCAGGAGTGCTTATTTTCTCCTCGGCCGTGCGAATTGACCCAGCCCAGTGCTGTTTTTAAACCTTCAAGAAAACCTTAAGAATTGGAATAAACTGAGATAACCAGCCCAGTGTTTGCGATTTGAAAGGTTGATTTAATCGAAAATTGTCTGGAACTTGGAAACTGTCAGTACCTTAGTCTTCAACAGGATCTGACAAATGATACTCCACGTCGACCATGAAACCGAGGTCTTATGCTCAAAATTATGCTGGGTTGGAAGGATTATGGTTTTCATAATGCTGGACTTAAGTGCCAGTTTTCGACATTTTCCCCCCGTGGCTACAAAATAAACATTCCTAAACAGTAATTTATCCTGTCTTTCTCGCAACACGGTAAACTAAGTTATGAAAGGAATCCGCGACTACCTTGGCAGGCCTGCGTAGGAGGCGCTTGGAAGTAGTAGGCGAAAGAGAGAACGGGCGCGCGCTAGGGAGACACACGTGTCTCCTTCTCGCGCACCCGTTTTCTTTTGTGCTCATTACTTCCAAGTGCCTGCTACGCAGGCTAACCTTGGCAAAGATATGCAGCGATGCTTGATGATGTGGTCACTGCGCCACCTGTCACGTGGGGAAATAAGAGAGGCGAAAAGTGCGTTACGCAGGCAATCCCGTCAAACTGAGGGATTTTACACCACGTTTCCCAAATTTAGGGCAGAAGACTGCAAAGGATCATAATCGACCCTGATTTCCAAGAACTCTGGGATTGGTGTAACGCACGCATGTTCCCCGAAATGCGCTTATTATGTATGCAGTGATAATAATAATAGTCTAGACATAATTACTGTATATTACTTTTGAAACTTTAACTGGATATTAGTACATTGGCAACCTTAACATAATGAAGAATAACCCAAATAAATAACCCAACGAGGCCGTTGAAAAAGGTCTAGCACTCTTTCATGTCCGTGTATGTACCATCCGCCATTATTTGTAAAAAAAAAAACGTTCGCGTATAGATCGTTTTCACTGACACGCAACAAGAAAATAAATTGGAAACCGTTGAGTGGAAGAAGCCAAAAAAATGAAATGTTATAAAAGACTAATATATAAACAATTTTCCAATTCTCGAGTCTTTGTGGCCCACAGTTTCTGAGTTATTTGCCGAAACATTTCACGCACCTTTGTAGAGCTTTTTATGGAGACGCCATATTGGTGTACCATTTTGGTGCACCAATATGGCTGCCGAAAATTTAAAAAAAAAACATCTGGAGTTCACTTTTTCTATAAAAGCTCTTTCTTTTCACTCTACAACTAGCATACGTGTGCATAAACATATCTTCTAATACTTGAAATGGAGAAGATTTTCAAATTTGGAGGCTCTGAAACGCTATTTTCAGCACTTGCCATGAGATATGTCGCCGAAAAATCGACCTCGAATATGAATATGACAAGCAGTTGCAAGTCTGAGTGACTATAATCAAAATAATGGAGTCTAAAGTCCAGATCTCTTCTTTGGTGGATTGTTTTAAGAAATGCTTTTCCAGTCTTCTCTATACGCTTTCATAAAACTGTTCACAATAAATGATGTTTAGATAAAATCGTTGGGCAAATTGATAATGACTCATAACGCGGTTTTGTTAAACACTGGCTAAACTACGTTTGAATATTTGGCCCAATGTGTCTGGCTCAGCAGGTCCAGGGGGGCACCTGCCCCCGTTGCCCCCTTGCTAGCTACGGCTCTGACTGCTGAAAATCAAGAGGAGAGACTTTTTTTCAACGAGACAGCATTGACCTACTGTGAAAACTCGGAAGTTCAAATTGCTGTATTTTGCATGCTACGGGGATGGAAACTTGTACAAAGATTTACTTTTTGTTTATCTTCAACCTAGTGTAAATGAGAATTCATAAAACCTCGCTATTTCGACTTAACAATTTGATGACGTCTCTGTGAAAACCATCTATTGTATTGTATTGTAAGACTTAGCCAACTTAGGAAAAGATGATCAGTACTGCACCGTGTGTTACAGCCCGTAGGGGGGAGGAGTATGTTATATTTTCTTGGCGGGAAATCGTGCGATGCATTTGTACAACCTGCGTTTTCCTTGGTCGGAAATCGCGCAAGAAATGGCGTGGCCATCGTCGTCGGGTTCAAAAACTTGTTTACTTTAGGAACTTGTTTTCAGCTATTTCATAGCATAAGGATTTTGTGACCGTAGTGCTCCGTTTCTAGTAAACTGTTTAAAAAAATTGTCATGGCAACAAAGACAAGCGGAATTCAACCTATTTGCTTATAAATGAAGAGCTAAGGTAAAGAGAAAAAAGAGAACGGCAGGGAGAAAACATTAAGAGGCGAAGAGCTAACAAAGGGGATTCACGTGGAAAATTTATGCAGCATCTGAGACTTGTTTAATGATAGCTGAAGCTGACAGAGTTTTGTGTCATCTTATTATGTTTTAACCGTCTTTTTGCACTGGATCCACAAAATGAAATACAGCTCCCACAAAGATTCTTTTGTTATTCTTGGCTGGCTTGTTTATTGGGTTTTGGTTGAGAAATATGCCGCTCGACAAAACGAAATCGGAAATCATCGTTTTCAAAAATAAGCTACTCTTAGTAAACTTACTTCGCCTTGCTGGATGCGTAATACATGTCTTCGTCAATAAAAATTGTTGCCCTTTTAAATGTTTCATTGAATTATATCTTGTCTTGATCTTGATTGTTTGCTAAGATCTCTTTCTTATCGCTTTGCCAAAATATTTATTCTCTAAAGTCACCCAACACCACTCTTAAAAGTCATATGGATCTCTCCAGTTAACCGATTTGTCGATTACAAGTTTACAGTTTGATTTAAGTCATAAATTTATTAACTAAAAAGCTACTCTTTTAGCCCAGGCTAAATCTATATGTTATAACTTCTCAGAGCATAACGTAAACACATTTGATTTGCCAATTATGTTTTTCAGTTCAGCTGACTTCCGTTTACTTCGCTCGAATGCAAGTTTATTCAAATCCGTCTTTGCCGACAATGGCGCCTCCAACAAACCGGATAATAGCTCCAACGGCGCCATAACCAGCTCGTATACGGGACTCTTCTCCCCAACTACCGCCCCAAGCTTGATAGGGCCAACTTTTACTTTCCCTGATGCAACGTTGGCTCCATCACCCATTTTCAATCCTTTACTTCTAACATGGACCTCCCCTCTAGTTCCCGGACCTTGTACCCCTACTCCTAATAACGGACCAGCCTAGGCTTCAACTTTCACGAGACTCAACAACAATAACAACAATAAGCTTTATTTGCATGACCATAACAAAGTATTACAGTATTGCAAAAGCTACTTGAAATTAATCGTTGACTCCTTGTAAATTAAATATTTAAAATAATTTGAAACTTATTAATCATTGTTTATTTCTCAACATCAGTAGGATTAATTATTCCGGAGATAAGTTTGTCTCTCAATTCAAAGCAAGTTGATATAAATGAAATTAATTGGATGTTAATAAAATAGTCAGTAGAATTCATCAGATGTGATAATAAGGACTCATGTGGTTGTAGTCTTAGAAAAGGTGTTTTAGGTTAGAGTTTAGAGAAGAATATATCTCTTATCGTAGAAGAACTTGGACAATCTAGTAAAAAGTTAGTTTCATCTTCAATTCTGTTACAATTGCAGAGATTGCATAACCTTTTTCTCACGTGGTATATTGTCGTATCTACCTGTCTCAATCATTTGTGACTGCTTATTCTCAGTTTCACTAATGTTTTCCTAGAAGGGTTCTTTCTTGTTAGATCTAGGTAGACAGAAGGGCTATAATTCGTTTTGATTTTATAATAAAAGTTAAGTTTGTGTGAATGTTGAAGGGTATGATTCCAGTAAGTGATATATTCCTTTTGCATAAGATCTACATATTGCTTGATTTTACATATATTCAGTAAATCACAATTTAAGCCTGGGAAATCATAGTAGTCAGTCATCTTCTTAAGACTGGAGTAAAAACTATTTTGACCACTATGATAAAGGTCAACAGATATTTTTAAAGATTATTAACTATAGAATTTTCATCTTTTTCTTGGAGATAGTTTAAGTAATTAAGTATCTTGTTATTTATATCAATGATCAAAGGGAATCTGCCAAGTTCAGATCTGCATGCAACATTGGATGACTTGTTATGGACTTCTAAATATCGTTTACAGAAGTACAGTGTAAATGAGTTTTTTCGATTCCGGAGTTATCCCATGACTTAAAATCTGATTTCACAAAGGCACCCCAAACTTCACTATTGTAAGTTAAAATCGGTGAGATCATTGTGTCAAAAATTTTATTTGCAAGAGAAGGTTTCAGTTTACTAAAATCAGTGTGGCGTCTTAGACTAAATAGAGCATGAACGGCTTTTTGTCGAAGATGTTCAAATGAGATTGTAAAATTTCCGGGAGACGAGATGCGAGTACCTAAGTAAGTATAGTCTTGTACAATGTCTATCATTTCATTGCCTAAGTGAAAAACATAATCACATTTTTTGTGCCTTTTTGGAAAACCATTATTTTGGTTTTCTTGGGGATGATTTTAAGCATCCAGGAGTTGCAATATGAAGACAATTTGTTTAGGCAATTTTGTAATCCTAGTTTCGATCGTGATAATATAATAAGGTCGTCAGCATAAAAAAGAGAATTGAGTTTGGTGCCATTTGGTAGCACAAACAGATCAGATAAAATATTGTTGAATGAAAAAGCTAGATCATTAACGTATAGGTTGAAGAGAAGAGGGCTTAAAATGCAGCCTTGACGCACACCTCTAGTGTATTGAAAAGGTTGTGTTTGGTTATTTCCAATTCTAATAGAACAGGTAGAGTTTGAGTATAAACTTTTTATGACTTTATAGAAGTTTCCTCGGACATTTATTTGTAACACCTTGTATAAGAGTCCATCGTGCCACACCGAATCAAGTGCTTTTCTAAAGTCCACAAAACATGCGTATACTTTCGTTTTGTGACAGTTAACGTATTTGTCAATTAATGTTCGTAGTGTAAGAACATGGTCAGCGGTTCGATTATTTGCTAAGAAACCTCAACAGCAATAGAGACTTCATCCTTGTCGAATTTAGCTCCTACTTTTCTAAAAGGCAAATCTAGTTAAAGAAAACTCCATCTTTACTAACTACTCTGGCATTAACTACACTTTTGTGCCTGCATGGAACCGCCGTTTCTCAGGGGATCAAAACTTGCTTTAGTATCTCCTACTGAGCCGTGGGCGAGCCCTCTCCAGCGCTCGGGTCTCCGCCATTTCTTATCCTCATCCTACTAGAAGCCTATTAATTGCTGAGCAGATGGGAAAAACACCTTTCCAAAACCATTCTTTTCAAAGCGAAATATAAAATGAGAAGGCTCTCGTATTACCTAGTTCTTAGAAATCATGGCCAGGGATCAATAAACAATTTTTCATGACGCATCATGCTTACATTTGCCGGATGGTATAAGACAAGAAATATAGACCTTGCCAACCTTACCGTAGCTATTTAGTCTGACATATTTTAATATTTTTATATTTATCTAACATATTTTATATTTTATTTTATTCTTTGCGGTTTGTTTTCTTAATTTCAGTTTCTCTATAGCAATACCGATGCTTTAAAGAGATAAACACTGTTATATTAAAAACCATCAATGTCTACTGTGCCTAATTTTATTCGTTGCTGTTTTACACCGGGGGGGGGGTACTGCCATATGTGGGCTATATAGGTATGTGCCGCTGTGAAGGGTATGGTTTTCAAGCAGTTTACTCTAGAATAGGGTATATAAATCAGAACATTTGGGTCTAGTTTTTTTCTAGACTAGGGAAACAGCTACTCTAGGATAGGGAGATTTGGGGAGTTTACTCTAGTATAGGGTAGCAAAATTTAGCTGAACTAGCAATAGGGGCTTCATCCTAACTTCCTAGCTTCATCACTAGCTCTGGTATAGGTTAAGGGTTCCAGGGTTCCAGTGGCACATCCCCACCCAGAAATTCCTAAAGTACCCCCCCGGGGTTTACATGCGTCCCTTACTGATACTGATGGTTAAATTTCAAGCCGTCTTTAAGCACAACATAACCTGAGATTACGTTTCCATTATTAATATTCTCTTTGATCTAGTTTCTGATGTGCTCCCACTTGGTTTCGTTTTCATTATTTACTTCCGTTTTTAATAGTTTCTATTCCACACAAAGCCGAGCGCCGTTTTTTATGCAGGCTGTGCGGGGCAGAAGATATTGGTCGGCACCGGTTAAAGACGACTTATGACGATCGTTTTTCGACGATTCAAAGCTGTAGTCGAGTGGCGGATCTAGGGGAGGGGCCCGGGGACCCACACCACCCCTTCTTTATGATAATTTTTCAAACTATTTTTTCTGACACTAGCTTGCTTCAGACCAAACAAACTTGTTATTTAATAGAAACGTTGGGAAAATCTTCCACTTATTCCCTTCTCGAAGGGGAAAATCCCTTTCTTTTTGGGTCAGCTTACAGTATCTACAGGCGTTATTTACTTTGGCTCCAAGGAGGAGAGACGAGATCAGTCTATCTCAATGACCTTATTAAAAAGAAAAACCCCAGTCTATCCAGTTAGTTATCATAACAGGGTTTTTTTAAACTCAGTTTACTGTAAAGGAACACAGCTGAGTCACAGTCGACGCTTTTCAGGCAAATTGAAGCGTAATACATGAAGGTGATTATGATCCCTGACCTTGATTTCTAAGAAACATAATTTCCTCGTATTGTACTTAATGGTTCTTGACGGTAATTTTCCCTTCTAATGAAGGCATCTTCTCACTTGACAACCAAAAGAAAAGAAATTTTTAAGATCTGGAAAGTTTTTTCTGGTTTGGATCATGCCCGGCCTGTTTGCTTATCTTTCCATTGCCTGTTCTGGCCTTGCTTTGATTTGTTCTTCATTTGGCAAGACTTTGAGATTTATGAATTGTTAACATAGCTGGCGTTCTGAAAATTCGTCAGTAATATACAAAAATTCAATGTAGTAAAATACAGGAGCCCACATGGGCTCCTGGAAAATACTACTATTTCATTCAGAGGCCTTAAAGCTGAATCAGAAAAAATTCTGTCAGTTCAGTTCTGAAGCTAAGGAAAGCAGTTGAGCAACGTTTTTGTGGCAGCTTATTATGATTATTGAGGCCATCGTTGTCGTCGTTGTGGTCTTTTAAGGTTTTACTCTGTCGGACCGTTGGTAGAAAAAAAAAACCAAACAAAACTTGTTTAGTTACTTCGAAGCAATAACATAGGGAGGTATAAAGCAAATCTTCGACTATACCAAAAAAGCTCTACAAGTCGTATGAGATCGTGTGAGGTTCATTCAAAAAATTCGACTGAAATGTCCACGAGCTCTTATTAACTCAGTACATTTCTGACTTCCGTTAGCTGGCAAAACAGCTTTCAGAACTTTTAGTACAACATGCCCGAGTTATGCAAAAAATGTGAGTGCTATTTCGGTTTTATACCTGTGTTTTGGATATGAGATTACAATACCAACATGTCGTCATAACCTAGTCTTCAGTAGTATTCTGAACGACCCTTGCGCGTCGACTGTTTTTCACAAAATCCCCAAATCCAATCGTTTGCCGTCTTTGGAATTAAATGAACATTTGCCTTCTTTTCTGTTTTTTCCTTTTGTTGTTGTTGCTGTTGTTTTTGCTGGTTGCATTTTACCAATCTTTTTTATCGGTGAAATGAGAAGGTTTCCATTTATATGCTCACTAGATAACAAATGTAGAAAACAAACCGAGAAGACAGACGAAAAACAATACTCTTTTTATTCTTATTTTTTTCTCAGTTGTGAACAGCTTGGTGGATTGCCTTCTGTAGACTCACCCTGCCTCCACATGCATGAGGCAAAAAAAATAAACGGAGAGGCTATAGATAAATCAATCACTTTATAAGCAACGTAGTTCTGTATTTGTTGATCCTCGGATCTTTACAAAACATTTTTTCTCGTGATATATTTTGGCAGAGTATAACTCAGTATAAAAAACATATTGAGTGTTTGGCTTAAAAAATTTAAGCTGCTAGAAAAAAAATAATAATAAGGCTTAAAGCATTTCTTTTCATTTACATCGAGAGTTCGATAAGTTTAAACATTGACATTTTTACCAACCAATTTTGAAATTAAAGGGACCTACAGCGAGCTCCAATCCGTCTTTAGCGACAACGGCGCCTCCAACGCCTGGGACAATAGCTCCAACGCCGCCGTAGCCAGCTCGTAGGGCGCCCTTTATCCCAACGCCCGCACCAACTTTGACTGGGCCCACTTGAACCTTTCCTGATGCTACATTAGCTCCGCTGTCCACTTTCAATCCTTTGTTTCCAATCCTAAAGTTGCCTTCTGCGCCAGGACCTTGCACTCCCACTCCAAAGGGACCAGCATGAGCTTCTGCTTCCCCAATACAGCTTTCTCCACCAGCGTAGGCTTCATCGTCATTGCTTCCACTTCCTGCGAACCCACAAGGTCCATCTGCTTGTGCGGAGAAACCCTTCTTAGTGACTGCTCTGGCACGACCAACACTTCCTCCGGCGTAGCCTCCTTCCGGCAAATCACCGTAGCGAGTTCCAACACATCCTTCGGGGCCACGAGCGTATCCGGGTTTCCTAAATTCTTCATCTACATCATACTTGGTGTCTATTTCCAAACTGTATCCAAGTTTATGTCCTTCTTCGCCTTCTCCTTCTGGCAAAGCATTTTCGTTTCTGGAGCTCGACATATTGCTGACTTAATAATTCACCAAAGAAATACTGAAACACAATTGAAGGACTCATTAGAGGTAAGTCGAGTTCCTCGATCAATAGACAAGCCCATTGTTTGAACTCCTTAAAGCCTCACTTTTTGCACTGAAAAGAAAAATAGCGGCTTGTGCACCTGAACCGCGCCATTTCTAAAAAATGATCATGAAACAGCTTTTTTATTCTTTAAGTCTATTTTCACACTACTAGTACCGGATAGCTTGGTACCGACGAAAACTGTGAACACCTATCTAATATGTGACTCTCCACTTTGGAGACTGGCACGACGCATCTTCGCTCCGTGACAGAACTTGCGCCCAAATCATTAACTCATCTTTCTGATGTCTCAACACTAAGCCCTATCCGGTATGGATTTTGAGCCGGCACAAAATTAACCTGAGTAAACAGCCAACCTTTCGCGACACCACTAATGGTTCACCCGCGAATTGACGTCTGAGAAACCAGCACAGAAATTCCATACTGACAACGTGCCACTACACAGAGCCATGTAGTACTTCTGATTGGATGAAGCAATTTTCCAACCAATCAGAAGCACTAACCATACAGATCTGGGTAATGACGCGTCATTAGTATGGAATTTCTCTCATTTCTCAGCCGTCATCTCGCGGGGAAACCACCATTGGAGTCGAAAAATGTCGGTTGTTTTCTCAGCCTAGCGCAAAAGCTGTCCGATGTAGTGTAAAAGTAGCCCAAACACTTGAACGCAGCTGAAATGGACAGAAAGAGCGAAATGCTCATCAGTGAGACTTGTTAAAATTGCCTCAATTACAGAAACTGCGAAAATTACGTGATCTGCGATGAAAATCCTATTTTCACTTGTACTCTAGGCCTTTTACTACAATTGTGTTGCCTTACCTAGTCCTTTTTAGAGTGCAATAATTTCTTTTATAAAAAGAGACTAAAATTGATCTAATAGTGCATTTTGTTTAGAACGTCCATTACACGACCTGAACAGGGAGTGATCGTGAGCCCCAACAACAAAAGATGAAACCCTATATTGTGACTCCAGAATTTACTGGGGAGACTCTCCGACATATTTTCTCGGAATCGTGATAAATTACGGCAGAACTTTGGTGTGGACAGTGCAAAAAATTAACGATTTTTTATTAATTACCGTCCGAACTAGGTTCTTTTTACCCAAAGACGGTCTAAGGCACACATCGACGACAAAAGTGCTAGCTTCCCAATGGCGCTTCATTAAATGACTAAACATCTTATAACTTCTAACGTACGTAATGTTCACATCAAACGAAGAACAATGTAAGACTTGAGCAGTTTTCTAGCAAACAGACTTTCTACAGGTCTTAACCGGGAACCAGGAAACCATTTCAGACAGTCTAGTCTTCTTACCTATGTTGTCCAATGGGAAACGGGAGGTCAGTTGTCCAACTGAATCAACTGCAAACAGCTTGCTCGACTTAGTCCAACTTGGAAAGATCTTAACTTGGTAAGAAATTTATAGTGTGATATCGATATTCCCAGAAGAAGGGGGAAGGCCCCATGCAATATCTTAAGCTATTTCTTAGAAATCACTGCCAGGGATCAATGAACGCTATTCATATATGGCTCATGTTTCCATGAAATATCAGAAAAGACCTTGACCTAGCTCTATTATCTTTGTTTACGTTTTTCCATGTTTGTTTTCAATTTTAGTTTCTCTTTTGAAATAGTGATGCATTTACTTGAGTTCTGTAGTGAAACTCCGACGACGGCTGTTTTTCGGAAACGTGCCTCATGATCAATTGTAAAATTGAAAAACTCATGACTAAATTAGTTGCTGGTTGGACTTTCGTCAACGTTGCACCATCAAAGTTTCAGTTAACTTTCAGCACTACACTCTTTTCTGTTATAAACATTGTAGCTACGGGGAAGAATTGAAAGAGTATCTTTGCACACAGACTAGAATTGTTGGGGATCTCATGATATCCTTGCTAAATAACTCTCAATACTTGATAAGTTGCGAGTGCTTCTACATGCTTTCAGGGCTCATGCCGCTAGGTCGCTTACTAAGTGACCATTAAATAAGATCAGTAAAAGATGGGAGCGAAAATTTCATTCTATTTTAGCCTTTAAAATGTTCGTTAATGGTACAGATAGCCCAACTTAGGAAGTGAAATGTGAAAATTAAAGAAAATAGTAGGAAATCTATTGCATAAGCTTCGAAAATTCTTCATGAATGGAACATGGCGCCGTCATCCAAAAAATATTTGCCGTCTTCAATAGAAAATTGTACGCCTAGGCAATATTTGCTTCTCCTAAAAGATATTTTACAGAAAACAGTCGTTGGGTGTCTCCGATGGTAACATATCAGCAAACAGAAAACAAAGTAACACTTTCAAGCAGTTGAAGCTGATAAAGCGGATGCGCAAACGGACCCTCACCAAAACCAGGACATTATTTCAGACTGTCTAGCGCACGTTTCACCTACCCTTGTTGTGCAACGCTAAGGAAAATAGCTGTCAATCAGCTTCAAACAGTTAGCTTGAGTTAATTTCTTTGGAATGAGCGTCACAATGTTGGTCCAAATTGCATTTTTAGTGCTAATTTGATCTCTGCAGAAGGGAAAACACCGACCGAAAACCCCTCTTTTTTGGATCAATTTTAACGGGGCATATAATTTCGAGTGAGTCTGTCAATTGCCTGTGCGATTGATTTGATTTTCTGGACGAATTTTGTTTGTACCACAGGTATACAAAAGCAATGACTATAACGTGAATTCGCTCTATTGCAATTGCCAATAAATGGCTTTAAAAAAAGACGGCGTTCATTTTGTCCTTTTTCCTAAACGGGGTTATAAAGTTGAGGACGTCGTCCTAAACAATATTTATTGGTCGAGTACTCCCTTCATTAAACAAAGAACAACCGTACCTAGGCAGTTTTCTAGCAAACGGACCTTCTACAGGTCTTAACAGGGAACCAGGAAACCACGATAGTCTAGTCTTCTTACCTAAGTTGTCCAATGGGAAACTGTCAGTATTGTCCAACTGAGTCAACTGCAAGCAGCTTGCTCGAATTAGTCCAATTTGGAATGATATAACTTGGTCAAAAATTTATAGTGTGATATCGAAATTCTCAGAAGAAGGGAGAAAGCCCCGTTCTATGAAATATGAGAAGTCTCTTAAGTTGTTTCTTATAAATCACGGTAGGGATCAATGAACTTTAATCCATGATGATTCATGTTTCTATTTAACGAATGTAATATGGAAAAGACCTTGACCCCACAATAGCCCTATTCTGTTTTTTGTTTTAAATACGTTTTTCCCTCGGTTTGTTTTCAATTTTAGTTTCTCTTTTGCAACAGTGATGCAAAAAACAATGAACTACCTAAGCGATAGGTTTTAGCTCAGAAAGCAAACGTGCAATCTACAGCCAATTTATCCCTTCGTTATTACATGAAATTCCTGTTCTTCGATAAGTCCCTTATTCAACTGATCGGTAACGTAAACGTTGCGTTCATCAAAAGCGAGACATGCAGATCAGGTTCTCTCCACAATCCCCTGAATCTGCTGCCTGATGTGCTTCCCTCAGTTTCGCTTTCCTTATTTATTTCCGTTTAGTTGACGTTTTGTATTACACCTCTATTCCAAAGAAAACTGCTGGCTCGGCACAGGAGAAACAAGAATTATTCTTTTAAACACCTTTTTCGGTTAGTAGTTGTGGTCACTTAAGCTGTTTCGTTAGTCTTTCTCTTAACATTTATTTATGGAACTAGCTTGTCTCATCTAAAAACACAGTATAACCTCTCCTTATGGACGCCCCTGTAATATGAACACCTCTCTTTATCTTTATATAACATGGTTGTGGCGTCAGGTTGTTTGGCTTTTCGCGCGCTAATCACGCGAGTTCAAAACTCGACAAGTGTACTTTATTTACCCATTCCTTCCTCGGCTGAAACTTGGAAAATCGTTACAAAGAAGGTGTGTCAATTTTTCTTCGCTTAAGCTGACATTATAAGCAAGAAAAATCCGTATTTTGCAAAGCATCTTTTTGCAAAACAAGAACTGATTACGCGTGCAAGACTTCGTGGACAAGATTTTGCGCCTGGTAAGAACTTCTCTTTTAATCAGTGCCATACAAAGAGTTCTGCGTTTTTTTCTCCGGAAAGTTATTTTATAAAAGCAATAGAAACTTTTTTCCCATGTTTGCATAGCCTGATATAAACACTCGAGGCCTTGGGAGAATTCTCGACAGTTATGCAAACCATCGACTTCGTCTCGGGTTTGCATAACTGTCTCGAATTCTCCCAACCCCTCTCCTGTTTATATCAGGCTATGCAAACACGGAAAACGTTTTCTATTGCTTAAATAACGGGTAGTTCGTTTGGTCCCAGAAACACCAAAAATCATACATTCCCTGCCTCTATAATACGGACACTTCTGTAAAGCGGACGACTGGTTCTGTTCCTTTGGTGTCCGTATTAAAGAGGTTTGACTGTACTACAGAATCTAAAACGGACAATACAAATGAGAGGGGGGAGGTACATAATAGGGAGGAGCGAGAAGGGGCCCGAAAAAGTAGGGAGGAGGGTGAAATCGGGGCGAAAATGTAGGGAGGAGGGAGACAATGAAATGTTGGGAGTAGGGAGATTACAATGAGAAGGTAATTTTATGGCTTTTCTTTAACTTGCGTCATGACAAGGCCGGATGGGGGAACAGAGAAAATGGCGCACACTACAATCCCCTTAGGTCTCCTGGGACTCCCTTGGTCAGACTTAACCAAGAAAGCATGGGATCAAACTTTTACGCATCTCAGGTTACCAGGTTTAATACTTGGTGACGACAGTCGCAACACACAACTCCCGCACTTAGTTGTAAAGGAAGTTCTCTTTTATGTGATTGCACGTCTAGGATTGGTTCCTTCTTGAATCTAATCCCTTTGTACACTTTTGTGTCCAAGAGAGTGATCTCTGTTTCTTACATCTTAGCCGTGAATTTGATAGTATTTGCCTTTTCCACAATTTTAGCTCTCTATTTTGTCTAGGTTCCATAGGGAAAACACATCGTCAATATATCTTTTCCAAAACAGCGGTTCATTTAGCCTGGGTGCCCGAAGACTTTTTATGTGCGGTTTCCGGTTTGGTAAAACCGTTTAAAGTGACCCGCGTAAAAAGCTTTTTTTCTCGCGTCTTCGCCTCTAGTGACCTCTCGTCCTTCTGCCTTCTGCCAAAGCTGATCTGTTGGCCTGCAGTGACACCGAAGCATCCCGCCGCACCCGAGAAAAATCCTCTGGTGACCAGGGTGCGGTTTAATACAACTCTGTGTCAATACAGGCTGGTCTTCTATTCTGGCCATTCAGATGTTAGCAAAAGCAACGGCCATCTTTGTTCCCATGGCTGTTCCAAGGTACCCCGGGGGGTGTGGGGATACTCCCGGGAATTTTTGGTGGGCGTGAGCCGCCAGGTTCTTAAAATCCTGACCCTGTTTCACACTAAAAAAATGTTATTTCCCACACCCGTTTCAGACCCGTCTCTTAAATCCATACCCATTTTCAGGCCTGGTATAGAATCTAGACTGGAGCTGAAACGAGATTTCTTAAAATCCATTTCGAATTCGCTTATTACTCTTTCTTCCTGATTCATTTGGAGTTGAAACGACAACTACATCTACATCTACATCTGTTAAGTTGGTAAAATCTGTTACAGACATCGCACCAACTATTAAAAGAAACGATCATAAAATATATACAATGCTCGGATAAAAAATTAACAAATAAAATCTGATAATACATATACAAAAATAAGCGAATCATAATATAGGGCAAAAAGTATGTAAGTAAAATACGTCTGGTAATTCGTAGCTAGGTAGGGGAGTAATTTGAGTTAAAGACAGCCAAGGAGTTTGACTCAACTATCAATCCGCTGGTAGCTTTAGCATAGCCTTATGGTCCATAAGTTCATACACTCCCGTAGTTTCCTCGAAAACCATACCCAATTCCCAGTGGAGGATCCAGGGGAGGGCCCGCCCCCCTGATTTTTACGCCAAAATTTTTTTTTTTTTGGAGACAGACCCCCCCTCCCCTTATCTAAGGGTCTGGCTGACCGGGCTCCCCCTTTATCTCAAGGACTGGATCTGGCACTGATTCCAGACCAAAATGGGCAAAATCTATACCCGTTTAAGACTGAAACGGCGCAAAAAGCCTATCCTTTGAGGCGGCACATACCTATATAGCCAGGAGCCTATCATGTTGCCTGCCATGTTTTGTATAAACGCCGAGCCCAGCCATTGTTTTCTCGCAAAAAAGTGATCGGAAATATGACACTTTTCGCGGGAAACAAGCCGTTCTATCTATAAATCTACTCGGGAAAGGGTTGACTCAAGAAATTAATGGAGATGGAGGCTCCATTTGATGGGCTCCTGATATAGCTTATATAAGGGAGTACTCCCCCCGGGGTGGGTGTATGAGCTTTCCCTCCATAAAATCTTCGTATGCATACATATGGTGGTTAGGCCTTCTTCGTGTGGTACAAGCTCTGAAAGTCATTATACTTCCTTTACCACTAAGTGCAGGAGTTATGTGTTGCCCGCCGTTAATTTTTAAACCAAGTTTAGGGAGGAGGGAGAAATTGCCCCAAAGAGTAGGGAGGAGGGAGATTTACCGTCCTGTACCTCCCCCCTCAAATGATGTGGTGCCGGAGCCATGTACATGGTTATAAGCACGCTAGAACTTGGCTTGGGAGTTTGATTTACCTGGAAAGAGAGAAATAGAAATTTTGTGGTGACAAGGGGACTTTGCAAACATAAGGTCGTATAACGCAAAGGAGGATGAGGAGAGGGGAAGGGGTCAAATTTGCACGATTTGGTTTTTCTGTAAGCGGGTGGAAGTCAATGTAGAAATATTACAAATAATGTGTGAATGAATACTCAAAAAAATATAATAAGCCCCGATCAAGCAGTCCCAACATTCTTTCCAGTGGTGAATTTTTCACCCTCCAACAAGCTGGTGAAAAAAGCTGAAAGACATTGTTTGACAGGACCATCAAATTTTACAATGTCTAGTGTAAAAGCAACCTATTTTTTGCGCAGCTAAATGATGAATTGCTGAGAAGGGAGAAGTTGGACAATGGACCAGCTTCTATCGAGAATACCTTTGACCTCCACCGCGGTCAAACGTCTAAATCATTATTTTTGTTTTTTATTGCTGGGATTTCGTTTACCAGTTAGAGAAAAATGGGCAAAGATGTATAAATCAGTTAGTCAACATAACTATCTTTCCATTTTTCTCAAAATTTTGAGCTTTTTTCGCCGAAAACGCTTCGCGCTAAAAGAGAATCATGTTTGAAGATGGCGCGGATAATAACGTCAGCATCGGTTTTCAATCACTTAGAACTTTTTTAGTAAACTTTTAAAAAGTTTAGTAAACTAACAGGATGTTCGTAATACCCTAAACTTTCGATAGTGAAAGTAGCAACCTTAACTTTGAAGATTTCGCTTAACTTTTGCAAATTTCACTCGTTTGACCGCTGTGAAGGGCCAGCTTCTATCAAGAATACCTTTGACCTATATATAGCGAACCCTTTCACTCTTGTACAGTGGATATAACTTAAAGTTTGTGGATTAAAACCTATGGTGTGATCATATAAATGAAGTCTCTTTGGTACATTTTAAATGGCGCTATTTGTTGTTGTTGTTGTTGTTGTTTTTAATAAAAAAATTTTAAATGAAATATGGAAATTTCTTTGAATTTTGACTTTCGCCACTTCTGAGAGTGAAAAGTTGCAAAATAGTTTTAAAACTCTTATTTATAGGTGGTTTTCATGAAATCTCGGGAGACACAAATAACAATGGTGAAATGAACAAATGCTGGTGGACAAACAAAGCGAGCTAATGAGCGATCTTTTGTTTACCTTCCACCACCATGGCGGCGATGACGTAACGTGAAAACCACCTATACACAAAAATTGTTAAAATTAATAAGTCACTCTAAAACCTCCTATATTCTTTTCACTTTAATTAGCTATAAATCACTTTTAAAGACACCAAATTACAACGAAGGTTAACAAGCCAAAGTTTAAATTCTTTATACGCCTGAGTACAATGACAAGTACTCTTTTTTAGTTCGATGAATTACTTTAATTTAATAAACAGTTAGGAAGCCGAGTTATTGTGCTAAAACCATTTTTATTAAGGGTAAATTAAGGTGGCATGTTTCACCAGCCTATTTTAAAACTGAATGGACCGAGGTCAACCTCTAAACCATCTTTGGCGATAATGGCGCCTCCAAAACCTGGGATAATGGCTCCAACGCCGCCGTAGCCAGCTCGTAGGGCGCCTCGTACCCCAATGTCAGCGCCAACTTTGACTGGGCCTGTTTGAACCATTCCTGATACAACATTGTACCCACCTTCCGCTTGAATTCCCCTTTCTCCAATACGACCCTCAACTCCACCGCTCAGACCCTGTACCCCCGCTCCAAGCGGTCCAACATGGAATTCAGTTTGCCCGACACTTCCTTTCATACCAACGTAGGCTTCATCCTGGTCAGCCTTTATTCCCGCATTTGCAGAAGGCAAATCTGCTTCAAGGGAGACTTTATTCTTTTTACTAACTGCTCTGGTACGAGCAAGGCTTAGTTCTACATGAGCATCATTAACTTCAACGTGTGGCCCGTGGAGGTACTCGGGTTTCTTGAATTCTTCACCTACTTCATACTGGGTATTTATTTCCACACTGTATCCAATGTCATTCCCGTTTCCCTCACCTTCTTCTGGCGAAGAATTGGCATTGCTCATATTGCTAAATTGTAAAAAGGCAAGTGTAGAAAAAAGGTTAGCGTAAAATTATGTATGGTTGATTGATAGCTGACATTAAAGCACATTGTATTCTCAGAGACCGGCCACTTACTGCACTTGGAACAATGAATAACTATGCCTCCGCGCCAAGCTTTTCCTTGGCATTTGGACGGAACCCGTACACCGACTTGTTTTTGCTATTCATACGGAATTCAGACTTAATTGATTGGGGTTAAACACTGACAATACTAATTAGTGATTTTGGGCTAAGCACTGACCATACTGATTAGGGCTAAACACTGACTCGAATTTAGGGTAACGGTTGTTGCTATATGAATTAAAATCAAACACATTTCAGCAGGGAATACGATAGATACGGGATCGATTCTCAACCTAGCCTTAAAAATTGAACAGTGGTTGAAGAGACTTACACTTTCATGGACATTCGTTGACCAGAAATTTCAAGAGACTTGAATAGCAAATACACGTCGTTGTAAGGGTCCCGTACCGCACCTGTTGCTCTTCCCATCATCCCATCGTGCTTATTATTTTTGTTTAATTTCAGTTTTATTTGAGATTTTATTAATGACATACTGGCAGAAGTTAATGATACTTTTGGCGCTGAAGCAACACGGGGCTAATCAATTTGATAAATTTAATTTAATTGAGCTCAATAAACAAAAGTTATTACTATCACAGGTAATGAAACAATTGTCATTGATCACTATGGTTAAATTTTAAGATTAGAATGTCTTGTTTTAGTCTGACAGTCTCCCGGTTGTATTAGAGGGGAGGGGGGGGGGGTGTCCAAAAATTGCAATGATAAAAAAAAAACACTACAGTCACCATACTGCCCCGCCCCCTCTCCCCTCCCCCCCCAACTTTCCACATAAATTATGAACCTCCCTGACGAAATTTTCACGGTAAGAGTTTTGCAAGAATATACCAGATTTTAAGAATGGTGAATCGAATGGAGATATGCAAATGTATTCGACGGAACCACAAGAACTACAGAAAATGCTGAAACTACAAGAATCATGAAAATTCACAAGATCGTCTACAAAATAGAGGGGATGCAAGGCCACTGCTGAATCGTTTACTTGGAATTTTCATTTTCCGAAAAACGACTTCATGTGAAACCAGAATTACCTAGTGGAAATTTAGATAAAAGGTTGGAGTGACTCCGTAGCCAAATCAGATATATGTTACATTGTTTACCCCGCCATATCGTATTTCTGCCTTGATCTCTAAGATGACATCTCTTTCCCTTTAGTTAGTACTTTAGGTGACTGTATAACTAAGAAAATGTAAACTCAATCCCAAAAATGACTCGAAAACTGGTCCAAAACGCGTTCATCGTTCAGTAAGTCCATCACCTGACCAACGGGATATATCTCAACAATAAAGAACGAAAATTAATGTTGTGACCCGGCTCTATATTATGACATTCAAATCAAATCAAATTACCAAATGCTTTATTTGCATGACCATAAAGGAATTGCAGTATTGCAAAAGCTATTAGTCTAAATTTAAGTACTAATGACATTAGAATTATTGAGTTCTTCCGACAACGGCTGTTTCTCGGAATCGTGCCTCATGATCAATCGTAAAATTGAAAAACTCATGATTGAATTAGTTGCTGTTTGGACTTTCATCAACGTTGCACCATTTAAGTTTCAGCTAACTTTCCGCACTACACTCTTTTCTGTTATACTCATTGTAGCTACGGGGCAGAATTGAAAGAGTCCTGTAATCTTCGCACACAAACTAGATCTGTTGGGGATCTCATGGTCATGATATTCTTGGTAAAAAACTCTCAATACTCGATAAGCTGCGAGTGCTTCTACTTGCTGTCAGGCCGGCTCATGTCGCTGAGTCGCTTATTAAGTGACCATTAAATAAGATCATTAAAAGATGGGAGGGGTGAGATGGGGGCGAAAATTTCATAAAATTTAGCCTTAGCGTTAATGGTACAGCGGCACCCAACGATAGTTTCCTCCTAAATACATTGAAACCACTTTTTAGGCTATTCAGAGTATTTTTAGATCTCTAGAAGTCGTTCCAAGCGGCGCTATAAAACTTTGTATCTGTTTGGTCATCCCAGGGCAACTTGAGCCTTTTCGAAATTACAAGGGCTTGAGTATTATTTCCAAAAATTTAAAATGCAATTTGACATATATGAAAGTGAGATATTTTCTGATTCCTCTCGCCATCACATTTTTTAATCCGAAACTGAAATTTTAGGTTTCCCTTTTTTTTTTTACTAAACATAGCCTAACTTAGGAAGTGAAATGTGAAAATTCTGGGGCTCAGAAAATCGTACGGAATTTATTGCATATAAGCTTCGAAAATTGTTCATGAATGGAACATGGCGCCGTCACGTCCAGAAATTTTTGGCCGTCTTCAATAGAAAATTGTACGACTAGGCAATATTTGCTTTTCCTAAAAGATATTTTACAGAAAACAGTCGTTAGGTGCCTCTGATGGTAACGTATCAGCAACAAAAACCCGGAATCAAACAGAAAACAAAGTAACACTTTCAAGCAGTTGAAGCTGATAAAGCGGATGCGCAAACGGACCCTCACCAAAACCAGGACATTATTTCAGATTGTCTAGCGTGCGTTTCACTTACCCTTGTTGTGCAAAAGGGAACAGCTCTCAATCAACTGCAATCAGTTAGCTCGAGTTGATTTCTTCGGAATGAGCGTCACAATGTTGGTCCAAATTGTATTTTTATTGCTAATTTGATCTCAGTAGAAGGGAAAACACCGTCTGAAAACCCCTCCTTTTCCTTACAAGGCAAAAGGAGGAGGCTGTCAATATTTTTCTCAGAAATCACGGCCAAAGTACAAAAAACAATTTCATGTGTGATGCTTCCATTTGCCGGAAGAAATATTGGCCTCCCACGCAAATTAAAAGGGCCTCGTCACGTGTTCCACCTCCACAACGGTATGCGCGGCGTCACGTGATCCTCCCACACAAATGAACTCTTGACGAAGGCCAAAACAGAAACTAGAGAATTTATATGAACATGAAGATGAATGTTTCTACTACAATCTTTATACCCTCTAAACTAGCTTCTGCTGTGTTTCCACTCGATTTCGTTTTCCTTATTAGTTTACCTCCGTTAAGTTTTACCGCAGAAAGAAAGCCCCTTTTTATACCCCATCTATACTCCGTTCCCCATTTGTAGTTGTACTGAAGACACAGCAGGAGTGTTCAAAACTCCTCAAATTGGTCCTTTCACTTCAATTTCCCTAACATAATAGTGTAAATCCCCTGCGGTTCTTGTTAGCTTACATATCAACAGGCGTTATTTAGCTTAGAACGAAGGTAAGGAGGACACAGACAAGCAGGGCGTAGGGAGATAGGGCGTCAGGTTGAAACGCTCATACGCAGCTCTCTGGTTCAGCTGTACTGGAACTAGTTCGCCTTTCCGCTCTCGATCCGCAAAGTTAGGTTCGAATTTATTGCTTTAATTCTTTAGATCGCTGTAATCCATAATCACATTTAATATTTAGCGCATTTTTGTGCGATACATAAAAAATCTTTAGGTGATATTTTGTTCTTGGTCTTAGAAGTTTGTGTTTTTTCGCCTTTTTATTTAAGCTTATGTATTGGCAAAATGGCCTATCGAGCAATACAGGTTGAAGGTCGAGTTTTAGCTTGCCATTATTAACTAAATGATAATAAACGGCTACAAAAGTATGTAATGGTTTTTTAAATTTTGTGCATGCAAATTATTACAGTAATCTTTTGTGACACTTAAAACATTCAATGTTTTTAACCTCTGAAGTGGCGGCTTCATAAGGGCGATGGCAAGGTTTTTTTGTGTACGTTGGCAATTAGGTTGCTAGGCTTTCCTGCTTTGATGCAGTAATTGCTTAAAGGAGCTGTGTCACGGCAGTCCAGTTCATGTTGTTTAATTTTGCCAATTACTCGCCCTCACTCGCTATGGAACTTAAAGTAAGCAAAGACATTACAGGTAAATGACAAAATTAGAGATCCGAGACAAACAAATATGTCTCCTGAGCATTGTTTTTGAAGTTGCAAGCAGCAGGGATCCACTTTGAAAAACTGTTAGGCTGAACAGTGTTCAAAAACCCTAATTTCAATCCTTTCAGTCTTCTTCAGTTTTGCCCATGCGTAGCATCTGTTGTTTCTGTTATGTTATTTTAACCTTCCTTTAAAGTTTTAAGCCGTTATTTTTATGTTTCTCTAATTTAACGGGCATTTTGCAATTTCCTAATTTGGCTGAATTTCGTGACACAGCTCCTTTAATTAAAATTCTTCGTCCAAAAATACCCATAGAAATGTTTTAGTCCAGTGCACGCACTCGTTCAATTGCATCTTTGGGAAAACCGAATACAATCTACACCCTTGCCTTTCTGTGTCTGATTTCGGATTGAACTGACCTAAGAAATTTACAAAGCTAAGGAAGGGTTCATAATTTACGTAGAGAAGGGTGGACTATGGCGATTTTTTTGAGGTTGGGAGGGCACGAGTTTTTAGATTAACTTTCTGCCAATATGACTGAAGGTATAAAGCAGGGGCCGTCAAAAACGTTTCAATCAACACCGCCAGTGTGTTTCTGTCTCTCCGCAGGGATCTTCTTGTGAAACTAAGAGGCTGGGGAGAGGGGAAAAGGGAGCATGCAGGGGGCGAAGGGAAGGTGTACCACATCTTTTGCTCTTCCCATCATCCCATTGCGCTTATTATTTTTGTCGCGTTCGTCAGAACGCATCCTAATCTGGTGTTCCTGTGACGCAATCGCAGAAATTTTCGATCTACCACGGACGACTGCAAATTAGATTAGCCCCCCGCCCCCAACTAAATTTTATCAGGGGCACCTCGGTCGGGAAATTGGACTCCTTTCGACCCGATTTCGTTTCCGTAATTTTTCCGCAATTGACGAACGCTGATCCGTAATCAATGATTACCTCTAGTTTATTTTTTTATTTGAAATTTTATTAATGACATACTGGCAGAAGTTTATAATC